GCATCGCAAGGCTTTCAGAACCACTCTTAGAGAAGGCAATCTGCCAAGCTTCAACCCCAGCCATCCCTGCGTCCTGAAAGTACACAATGCCATCGGCTATGGGACCAAAAATAATGAGGAACTTGTCCAGAAGAACTACAGCCTGGCTGTCGAGGTGAGAATGGATGTCTCCAGCGAGATGTTTAATTAAGAAATTAACTTAAGGAGATTTGGGACTGATTATTTTTTTCTATATTAACCAGGAATGTCATGTGCAGAATACCGCCAGAGAATATATTAAAGCATACAACAGTGTGGCCAAGTCTGCAGAATCATTTGGAGAGTTGCCAGAGTAAGTATAACAATACAATTGACCCTACACACTTGTGAAGTGTAAAAAGTACTGGGAAAAGTGTACACAGAGTATCTGTATTGTTTCATTGTATCACTTAATTCTAACCATAATGTAATTGTGTGAGGTGAAAAAGTTTTCACATTTACTTAAAGTGCCCCTATTATGGGTAATGAAAGTTCATATTTTGTCCCCAACAACAGGTTGACATGCATGCAAGGTCAAAAACACTTTAATTGTCTTATAATATGCATTTATTTTTACCTTACTTGCTCAACGACTCCCGAAAGATTCGCTCAACCGTTCATTTTTCCAAACCCCTCCTTTGCGTGACGCTAATCTGCGGTGATTGGTCCGATTGGTCTCATTTTCATTTCATTTTGCCTGTAATGCCTGATAATGCGAGAATGCAGTGCTGCTTTGTGTACAGCGTTACTGGGGAAACAGCTATTTTACTGCTCCAGAAGTGGCACCTACGACTCGTTTTAATGATTCAGAGTCGACTCTTTCTTTTGAAAGACAATAGGTACGTTCGACTTGAAGCACGGCTACAGACGGCGATCAATGAGAGTAGCCGGGGGCGGAGTTGAAAACGGAGCCGTCAAGCCGGACACTTTCTGCTCCCGTTAGTGACGCTCACGCGGTGTTTGCATACTCTATCACAGATGAAGTGAATAAAATGCAATATTTGTCAAATACGCAGACGTTTCAGAAACGTTTTCATGAGCAACAGAACCACTTTTTATATACTGCTTAATACAGCGCCATCCGTTCAAGAATAAAGTTCAACGTAAATATATACTATTTAAAAACTAATATATATGCTAATATGGGGTATATATGCTTTCATGATAAACGTGACTCAATATAACATTGCGACTACAGTAAAAAAGCTTTTACTGTTCTAAAAACACAGATTTATGAGCAGTATTGGATTTGAAGATGTTAGAGACACAGGTCTCAGCACTCCTGCAGTCGCTCTAAAAAAGCTGCGCCAGCTGAGTCAGCAGGCTGCTCTCGAAACGCTATCACGGTACTTTGATGCCACACGTGACAGTGACGTGGCGTCGGCGCCGGTTTAAGTCGGACTACTAAATTTCTAACCGGCATACACTGCTTCAAGTCAGCCGCCGATCGGTCTGCGCAGCGCTGCATGAAGTCGAACGCACCTAATAACTTTATACCCGGTGCACTTTCAGATTTAAAACTTTTGCAGGATGTTTTCATTCACTTAAAAGCTGTGTTACACACTGCATGAAAGGTCATTTTCAAAAATCCATAATAGGGGCACTTTAATAAGTAAACTTCCTTAGTGTTTGAATTTGATACAACTGAACTTTTAAGGGTTAGCAAAGATTTTCTAATTAAAGTAACATCTACACTACAATATATTTGTCATTCAAAATATTTTTAATGTATAAAAAATACAGTCAAATTAGTGATATTGTGAAATATTATTTTAATTTAAAATAAGTGTTTTCTATTTGAATGTATTTTAAAATGTAATTTATTCCTGTGATGGCAAAGCTGAATTTTCAGCATCATTACTCCAGTCTTCAGTGTCACATGATCCTTCAGAAATCATTCTAATATGCTGCTCAAGAAGCATTTCTTATTATAATCAATGTTGAAAATAGTTGTATTGCTTAATAATTTTGTGGAAACCGTGATAAGGTTGAGGAATAGAAAGTAAAAAAAAAAAAGTTTTTGAAATAAAAATCTTCTGTTGCTTTATAAATGTCTTTTCTTTCACTTTTAATCAATGTAATGCATTCTTGTTGAAAAATGGTAATTTCTATAAAAAAAAAATCTGTATATTTAACACATATGCTAAATTTATATGATAAAATTACATTTCAGTTTGCTTTCTTCAGTCTAGTAACTGTCATGCTATTGATAGAAAAAAAGAACTATTAAATATTTGAAATGTATATATTTGTAACAATGTAAAGGTCTTTACTGTCACTTTTGATCAATTGAATGCATCCTTGCTGAATGAAAGCATTTAAACAGAATAAAATCAAATAAAAAATAATTGTTTTGAAAGCAAACATCTGAATGCTAGTGTACATTTCATAAGACTCTAAGACACACTTTATTCAAAAACCTCATGTTTCTTTCATTATTTGTATTAATTCATTAAATTGTCCTTAAATTCCCAGAATCATCCCTATTTATTTGGTGCACCGGCCGTCTAACAACATCCCTTACGCCACGCTGGAGGAGGAGCTGCTGGGAGATTTTGTGAAGTACTCAGTGAAGGACGGGAAGGAGATCAACCTGATGCGCAGAGACTCTGAGGCGGGACAGAAATGCTGCGCCTTCCAGCACTGGGTCTATACACAGACCGAGGGCAACCTGCTGGTCACAGATATGCAGGGTAAATAATCAACTTATTTGACAATATGTTGCACACATGTTGCGAGTACGCTGGTTTAACGAGAAGGATGTACATTCGAATCCTGCAGGGAGTGATGCATAAAAATGTTAGCACCCCAAATGTTCTCTTTTATGTCCAGGTGTGGGTATGAAACTGACAGATGTTGGGATTGCCACCTGTAAAAAAGGGTAAATTCTAATTGAAAAATATCACAAATTTATTCTTTCAAAATGTGATATTTTAATACATTTAAATTATATTTAAATATGTACATATACTATAAATGTTGTATATAATAATACATTTTTAAATAAGTATTTAAATATTTACATTAAAATTATGTCATTATTATGAAAGCAGTCAAATGTATTTTTTATCGTTGCAGCTATAAGGGATTCAGGGGAAACTGTGCCACGTCCTTCATTGATCAGTTCAAGGTTCTGCATCAGTGTAACAGGTACTGTGAGCTTCTGGGCCTGACGTCTCTTCAGCCCAAGCCAAAATGGGCCGTCGCCCCGCCAAAGCCAAAGAAAAAAACCTTCGGTCCTGTACTGAACGGCAAATCCTGATCGCACAGAAACTCTGAACTTCTGCTAGTAGGATCACTAGTGTTTGCCATTTTTATCAGTGAAGTCTTGCTTAGGGATGAACATGTTTCTGAGATGTTTCTTTAAATGTAAGATGACATTCATCTGGAATGAGGACAGTAGGGAGGTTACTTTTGTGCCATTTTAAATGAGCTTATTATTGATTTTTATTGATTTTTTTTTTTTTTTTTTTTGGGGG